GGCACCTCGCACTACCCTGTCAAGTTTGCGGATTGACCCATTGACCTTAACCCGGTCGCCTCGGATATCTGTGGTGAGACCTCTAGGAAAACAAGCATTTCATAGACTCCTTGCACCTCGTTGGCGATATTCCCATTTGGATCGTTCAGACTCGGATTCCGAGGGGTGACGATCGTGTGGTTTTGTCCGTCGTAGACCGTCGACCGCCAAAAGCTCAGGGAGACGTGACGGATGTGTTGTCTGGAGTGCAAGAGGGGAATACAGGCATATAGCTCTTCCCTGGGGTGCCGGTGGCGTGTAGCGGCAAAGGGGCGACGGCAGCACTCGCGAATCGATATAAAGGCGGCACACACACACACACACACACCGTCGTTTGCCTGCATCCTTGGGCAGAGTGTGATAGATATAATAATAATATAGGTAGGTATACACTACACACATACACACGAGATATACGGCGGTAAGATCGATATTAGCCGAGGACATGACACACACACACACACACTGTTGAGAATTATTTTGTGGAAATCGCACGTCACGGGAAAGTAATAAAGACCAGAGAGATAATGAGAGGTATGATCGTGTGCGGACGGGCCGTGCTACCCCCTATACCTAATATAACAAACGAATAATCGTGTGCACACACATATATTACAACAATAAGACGAGCAATACAATAGACACGACGAAGATAATATTAAAATTCGCGGTTTGCGTGCTCGTCTCGGCCATTCTGGCACGAGGTAAACGTCGGCCGCGAATCAAACTTTCCATTGTCACACAAAACTCATAATATATTATAGCGTACGGTAGATGTGCACAGGTACACAATGTGACAGGTATACAACGACAACAACGACAGCCAAGAAGTTTTGTCAATTCCAACCGAGAAACACTTTGAAAAGGATCGTAATAGAACCAAGACGAATATGTCAGCTTAATACGCTATAAAGTTTGAACTGATTTAATATTTTTTACACAAAATTATTCATAGCTCCAAAATTGGCCAATGGTGAACAAGTATAAAAATGAAATACAAATTTTGTGACCCAAAAAAATAGACAGGAACCATTTTAAAACGGCTCTGAAAATAAATATGTATGTAAAAATATGTCGCTGGTACTTTTTTACTGTCATACAAAATCATGAAAATCCGATTGTATTTTTTTGGGACGTTTGAGACGTTTTGAATTGACTTTCTAGTAGCATATAAATATAAAACTTTTTTAAATTGCTTAAAAACGAATTTTCCAGAACGACTGCATGCCTAAAAATGAACATAAGAATAGTAAATATAATTAAAACAAAAGTTATTAGACACAATTAATTTCTAAATCTAAGAAACCAGTTTTAGACGTTTCCCTTTGTTGACTCATTCTGCCCACGAAACAAGATAATATTCTTCAGGAGGGATTATGCAAAAAAAAATCAAGGGAATACGTTTTTAATTATAAAACTACACGGGCCAGTACGGTTTTTAAATAACCAATTAATTTTCCCAGCCTCTCCGGTGGACAAAAATAATTGAACGATTTTAACTGAAGCGTGTATTTTTCATTATGTTTTAGCTATTAGTTAAGTTCATTGCACAATGCGTCCATGTTTCCTTGCAAAACAGAGTTGAAAATTATATATTTTATCATTTGAGCTGTATTGAGTTCATGCCCTTGCTCTATATGGCAATTTAACTAAAATCTACCGGATTGCTTGAGACGAAAATTAAAATTTGGCCTATTTTTTTTTTAAAAATATTATGTCGATATAATAAATTTTACTTACTTGTTTTCCAAGCGCACATATTCACTAACTGCATTATTTGTCCTGCTGGGCTTTAAAACAAAACCTGGTCCACACATGGGCCGGTGGCGGTGCTCGCGTTGTTCCTAAGTTGTTTAATTCAACTTCCGTACTTACGAGGACCGGTAATTAACTTTGACCCTACTACAGATTTCCGGACCCAAATTAGTATAATTTTGTCCGTAAACACTTTGGATACATTCCGTAGAACTTTCGAAGCTCGAACGGTAAAACGTTCAAGGAAATTACACATACCGCCCGGGCAGTCAAGAGTTCAGTAAAAGCAAATTATATCATATACTTGGGATGAAATTAACTCAATCATTTGTTTACCCCAGAAAATAAACTTATTATTGTTATTTTTAGGATCTGGTGTTTAAAATTATTAATAATTGCAAATAGTCTACCTTCGACAATAGTTCAATAAAACACACTTGACTTATATCACTTTTACAAGCAATATCACTTATATAAATAAATTCTATTTGTTAAGTTAACAAAACGTTAGTCGGGTTACCAAAGCGGTTACCGCGATTCCAAAGTTCTCATTGGTTATTAAGTATGTGATAACTGATAAGTGATTGTATTATTTAATTAGTCAGTTTGTTATTATTTGGCATTTTGTTTTACTTTCTTTTAACGTTTCGGTTTATACTTTTTATAAATAATTTATATATAATATTTTTAACACATTGTTTAGATAGTCTATGCTTTTCTAAAAATATTTTGTCATCGAGATCATTAAAATAATTTTTGCTATTTTGAAGGCATAAAAAAAAGTAGATAGTGATAAGAACTATTTCCATTGTTATACTCAGAACAGGCAAGACATAATAATATTACTCTAAATTACAAAGCACAATAAGTTATGATATTTGAACCTATAATATAAGTCTGTTCCATTCCTTTTTACCTAATCTACCTACATAAAATAACTTCTGCTAATAAAGGGTTATCGAATTTAAATACTCAACATAAAGAAGTTCCTCATTAAATGTGTAATTTATTATTATATATTACTAGTATATTCAGTCAACAAAAATTGTAAAACAATTTCTGAACCATAATAATATAAATATTATATAATATAAGTACTACAATACATTTTAACATTCCGATTAACTTTTTAACAAGCCGATTTCGGGTTATTAATTTAACAATCGTTTTAACAATGTGTTAAGGCTAAAAAATGTCGATGAAATCCAATTTTCATTATTAGTAGTTAAATATAATTAACAACAAGTTAAATACTTAACAAATGTTGGTGAAAACGGCTGAATGACTTACATTTTTTTTTTAAATTATACCACATTTTTTTCGGACAAAATGTAATTTTTGTAAGAACAACGCCTTTTATTGTCGTTTTTTTTCATACGGCCTATCCGATTTAATTAATTTAAATAGAAATCAAACCGAGTGTGATTAATTTTGTTATTGTGGTTCTGATAAAGCATTTCCAGTCATGTATATAAGCCAAGGCGTGGCCGCTTCCTCGCCCTGCTAGACCGTGTTCGTTAAATCGATATTGAACATAATCACTACTAATATTTCATATTTAAGTATATATATATTATAATTTGCTTAGTAAAAAATTTCATCCGTCTGTTATCGCACTGCTGGCAGGTGGTTTTCTGCATTTGGAAAATCAATAACCAATTTATATTCCAAACGTATAGTGGCTGCCAAGGGGTTATTGTGATTGTGACGACGGACTTACCGTAGTAATAATAATAATAATTTACTTGCGATACGAAAAGCAGTCACGCTCTGGATAACGCGATTGATAAAATATAATATATTAAAGTTTGAACACCGGATAATGTAATAAATCGTATGGTGTATGCCAAGAAAGTTGCGGCTATTGTATCCCGAAGTGAAATCTCTCCATTTTTCACCCTACATTATTATTTCACTGGCTGATGCCGAGATAGCGGAAAGATAGTTTTAAGAAGTTTTCGGCGTACCCTTGTAGGGTAAAATCGAATATCAGATCACATCCGGATAAAGGAAATTATAAAATATGCCACGTCGATGGTCGTTTGACGTGACGAAAGTTTCAAAATCCTTTTTTTTTCTACCCATTTTTTTTTTTTTTTTGCTCCCCTATTCCGTACACTGAGATATGGCTAGTACGTGTTTCCGTAATATTATATACATGTATATAATGTCCTGTGGGTCTAGACGAGACTACCGAGTCGTTATCGAGCGTGCAAGAGTCACACGACCTCTGGTTCTCCCCGACCTCTTCAGCCTATATAATAATATACCGGAGAGCAGAGCGGGGGCGCTATTTGTTTATGGGATGACCGAGATGAGTATAAAATATCATCTGTCCCGGCCGCGCTATGAAAACACCTATTTAAAAGCTCTTTTGTCATGTGAAGTGAAAAACTCCGTAGAGTGTCGATGCGAGTGGCCGCGGTCATAGTAATTAAAATAAAAACGTGAGGCATAAAACACAGCGACGACGACGACGACGACACGTCGAGTCGTTAAAGGCACATCTAACTCACCTCTGTAGAAAACTGTGTTCTGACATCCACCAGAGACCAATGTAATGATCCGTTATGAATCCGGTCATAAAAGTCGAGAACTCGCCAGTAGGTTGTTTCCAAACAAGCCTATGCCTCGATGGTGAGAAGTACTCTGTGAAATTTGATGACCCAACTAGAATAAACCAGCTAAATTCGTTGGGACGGTGAGAGCAAGTGCGAAACACTAAAAGCGCACAATTAAATTCAACTCAGGCGCATTGTCCAATTGGAACTGGTAGAATGACAAGTAGTTGCGTTTGTAACCTGGCAACTGTCAAATAGTAGGCGGATCTTTTCTAGAGAGGAACTTCAAGAGGTTGAAATTTCATTTTTAAATCGGCTTGGAGCTAAACTTCATAATATAATCCAACTCTCTTTCGGAGGGGTAATTGCATGTTAGAGAAGCTTCTCTTGTGATAATTTAGATCCAGGAATGATTAAAATTAACAAATCCGAAGAACCCTGTCCAGTCCGTTTCTGAGCGAGTGCATCTGAGTGATATCCAAATTTACTAGAAATGTTTGAAAATGGGTATATTTTCAAGGTGATGGGATGGGAGAGGCTCTGGAGCGAGGGGATGGCCAAAGCTACAAACGGGTCAAATCTATCGAGTACTACTGCATTTGTACCAATTTTGACATGGTGTTTTCTATTTTTTTTTTTTTTCAGAATGGGGTTGGATACCAGCGAACGGGCCGGGAGGTACGCGGTCGTGGTGCAATCCAGCCGTCAGTCATGAGCGCGACGGCATGCTGAGGTAGAGGACCTCGTCGCCGTCGGACTGCACAGAATTAGTGGCGACGACGAATCCGTTCTGGTAAACATGGTAGGCAGTCACCAGCAGCAAAACCAGGGAGGCCCCATCTGCGGTGGCACCATGATGAACATGCTAAACGTCGACGCCGAAAACCGGGTGGTGCTCAACGTGGGCGGCATAAGACACGAGACCTACAAGGCCACCCTCAAGAAGATACCGGCCACCCGATTGAGTAGGCTGACCGAAGCGTTGGCCAACTACGATCCGGTGCTCAACGAATACTTCTTCGACAGGCATCCCGGTGTGTTCGCCCAGGTCCTCAACTACTACAGGTAATTCAATAATCTAAGAGCGGTGAAAGGAACGCGAGGGGGAATGCTGAAATGGGCATGTAAAACGAAGTTCGAGACGGGGCAAAGTGAAATAGTAGCGAAAATTCAATATTTTCCTCTAAGGAAAGCCGTTGGGGCTCGGGTACATTTGAGCACGTGGAAATCTGGAGTAGTCATTATCATTATTACTTGGCATGTCTCAACAATTGTCCATTTAGGCCTTGGGCTGTACGCAGGTCAATTTGAATCATTATTATGCTTCAATGACAAAGGGATCCTTTGAATGCCAAAAAAAAAAAATAGGATAATCAAACATACAATTTAGCAAGTTCAAATTTTCGTGTACAATTTCAACACTGAAAGTGTGCACTTTTCGAGAAATGACTAAAATATGTCTTAAAATCAGCTGATTTGCTGTCTCTTATCAGATGATTATCGACAATATCATATCAATTATCCATTTCCCCTTATCATTATCACACCATTTCGGCTTATCCACACTTACCCCTATACTATTCCACTTCTCACTGGTATTACCTGATTCTCTAAAAACAAATGTTTGGTCGTACATTTGTTAGTCATGCCAGACTCAATCTCAATAAAATATTACACTATTTTATGCAACAGTCAGAAGTCAGGACCACTCGTAAAATGAAATCTTAAGATATACATTTAATTAAAAAAATCTAGTCAATATTATAATAGTAATCAAATAAAGGTAATGAAAATCAAATGATCAATACTTGATGTCCAAAAAAAAAAATATACAATCGTTCATAAACATTATGTGTTTATGTATGATAATGAGCTTTGTTCTTTGTATCCCTAGTCGTAGCTGCAAAAAGGGTTAGTGCGACTTATGTTTGTTGATCCGCTTTCCCTAAATACATTTGAATATTAAGCGACGGTGGTCGAGTCCTAAATTATATTATCCTTTTAAACGTCTCGAATGAATAACATTTCTACTACACACATTCACTGCGCAACAACACGAAGAATGGTGCAATTTAGTTTAATAGTATATTTCTTAGAGATCTTTCAATTGGCGTTTTTATCCTAAACAATTACTGCCGTTAATTGCTTACAGTCCTCGGGCCTTACGATTGGGTCGTTGACAGTGTTATAGTTGTCAATTGTTTCAATGCATGCAAATTAAATGTAAAATTCTAGCCGTTAAGTCCTAATCCATTTTGCCTAGAACCTGTAATGGGGCGACGGGCTTTATCAGACTCCAATTCTTCCTACACCACTCGGGCGGTGACATACCTATCTAGAAAATAAATGATAAAATTACAGTTTCTTAGCATGACTTAGAAAATGTTATTTGCATTGCAAATCCGGTAACGTCATCGCCCAGAGCAATTTAGTGTTCTTATCGCTATAGCGGCAAGGAGGTAGACTATTGTCGGAACATCCCTTTAATTTCCATCAATCTTGCCGAAAACTTTCATCGTTCGCTCAAATAATAATATACTCACTTCGTTTACTTTAATCTTGTTAGTATTTGTTTGGCACGTCAACTTACTCGCACTGAACCCCGACCTCGTGTGATTATTATATACCTACATGATAAATTATAAAATAAGCCTAGAATAGTATAAGGGTCGTTGAGCCGAAAATGGAGCATTTGTGTCCTTAGATATTATCGTTGCACGTCTTAAACATTTTCCATTCAAAGTGTAATCAGCCTAAAGAATGTGTCAATCAATAACGTTAATATGCCTCAACAATAAAGGTAAATAATCAGTCAATAGCTAGTTCCGGACACTCCTATTAAAGCAGCTCCTGACATTGTGATAGACCACTAAGGAGCGACATTGGATTGCTATGACAGCATTGCTGGCTAAAGCAGAAATTTCGGAGGAATACCATTCAATCGACAGTGAACTTATAGGGATCACATTTCAGGTGTGTCCCAACATTGGTACCTTACTTCCATGTCAACTTTTTAATTTACCGTCAGTATAGGGAAGGCTTAACGTTGACTTTGTCTGGGAAGCAGTTTCTTATCAGTAAAATTGTGGTGATAGGGTGAATATGTGTGCATGTGGTTTTGTCAAAGGTTACGTTAGATCAGAGGTTTTGAGTGTCCTTCTCGTGGGTTGGTCCGTTTGCTAAATGCTAGCAGGTGAATCAAACCTGCCGACCCCAACTAATTAAAGTAAGCGCTGGCTTATACGCCTGGGACAACTTAGCGAGGACTCACTTAAGAGCTGCTCCACCGCGACAAGGACGGTTGGAAAAAATCTTATACCAATTTTGTAATTTACCATCTGATTTGCCATGAAAAGAAGGTTTGAAACTTAAAGTTATGCGGGGAGTTGTTGTATACCCATGTGTTTAATTTCCTCTTGTAAATCCGCTACTGGATTAGTTGCGGGAGTGAGTTGTTTCTCGTGTGTGTGTCTCTTTGAAATTGTCCTTTTGGCCAGTATAAAAACGTTTAACGGCTATCGTCCGACTTTGGGGTTTATCCCGGCAAAAAAGGTGGCAGTTGCAAGGCGGCCCCGGTTACCGGTGGACGTTGTCTGGATAAAAACTCCCGGGGGAATCGCAGAGAAAGAACAATAGTACAACCTAAAGCAGCATATGTGTGTGTGTGTGGGAGACGCGACATTTTTATATCTCGGTCTGTTACATAAAAACCAAGCCGTTTTTTCCACTATTATTAGCGACATTACATGGGCGACGAAAATTGCCCGGCTTTATTGTTTTCCACCGGAGTCACAGCAGTTGCACACCGTCGTCCCTCTATATAATATATATATATATATTATTATTTTTTTCTAAAGCTATAAAACCCCGTGTACTTTGTTGTTGCCGCCGCCGTGTGCGGATAAATCGGCGGTTACATTGTATAATTTTTCTCCACCGGCAACTCGACCAAACTGTAATAAAAATAAAAGCCGGCACAGAGGGGTCGGGGGTATAATGGGAACCGAGCATACTGGGTCGGGGAAGGTCGTAGAACACTATAGGAATTACTTTCAGAAAAAATATGCTTCAAATAGTATAGTAGCAGGTATTAGGGTGCGTACGATTACGGTTAATCGTTGGATATAATAATTTTTTTCCCAAGCTACAAATTGCTCGGTTGCATAAATTTTATGAGAAAATTGTGCAATTTTTGTAGTCCCATTATAGATCAACCTTTAGCCTCATTTGCAGACGTTGATTTCCAATCAAATCATAGCACCTAAAAGAAAAAGAAAAAATTAAATATTTACATAGTTTACAGTTCTATTTATATTTAAATTGTTTTGCTCCGCTGGTGCCTGTAGACTGAAGCGATTGTCTGAAATCATATGTTTTGTACCACATGATTGCAATAGTGAAACAAAATTCAAAATATGTCCCAGTGACATTCTGTAATTCTGTCATTCTGATCACACTGTAGCACGCCTTTTCGCTTGCTTCGTAATATTTTACTTGTTATTCTATCTGATACGTCGATAAAACTATTATTATCAATTTTTATAATTATTATTACTCAAAAGTAGAACGCAATACTAATTTAGATAATTTCACTGACGTCAAAAGGATTTTTTATCTGTACAAACATCATGTCTTTTAGGAAATTGGCCATTATTTTTCGAAGAATTGTACCTACTTGTATAAAACACAAGAGGTGTAAATGAATTTACAAAACCACAAAAAGCTTTAGACATAATTTTAAGCTCAATTAATTATAAGCAATAGGGTTCCTGTTAATAAATTATTTACACTTTTCAAATTATTGAACTTATTTAGGATAGTTATATGAAAATGTCATTTCTTAACTGAAAGCCACAAATAAAAATGTTTGCCTATTGATCTAAAACTTATGTTCAAAGTTCAAACATCATTGTTTAGTTAGTACACCAATATGAAATGTAAAAGCAGACCCTCTAGCGCAAAAAAATACACCATTGTGAAAACAATACCTTATCAGCTCCACGCTAAGCTAGAATGATTGATGACCTTTGATAATACAATAATTATCCGTTTGATTTAAACAGGCCAATGTTTACATACAGTTTACAAGATGAACCATGCACATCAAAGGACAAAAATGTGCTAAAACATAACATTATGAAATTCACAAATAAAATTAAAAATATGTACCTAGTTACAGCTACAGATATTTCCCAACTCGTCGTCTATTTACATTATAAATAACGATTTTACGGCACAACGTATAAACTGTTAACTTAAACTTGAACCCCTCAAAAAATTTAGTACTATTTTAAGTACACCAAATTTGTTTTGATCCATTCCGTGGCGCTTTTACAGTGATAATTGGTCACCCTTAATTCGGGTGGTGCATAAAGTGGAAACTCCACTGAATCAGGTTTATTTATCTTTTGCAAAAGTTACTTTGGTTCGAGAACTTTTTAAGTGATACATTTACTGTTCATTCAAGTCTACACAAAAGTTCAACAAAATTATTTCAATTCGGCGAATCTTCGCGTTTCGGATAATACATTAAAAAATAAAATATCTAAATAAAAGTCTACAGCCGAAATGTTTTTAATGTAATTTTCAACTTTTGAAACGTTCATAATTGAATATTATAGCTTGATGAATATTTATTTTTTAAAAAGCCAGCTCGGTTGGAACCGGGCATAGTGGGATCAACAGATCTTATTGGGAAGGTGAGAGAAGGGGCGTTATTTTAAAGGCAAATTTATGCATAAAATTATGTTTTTAGTAGTAAAGTGGATACGATCAGAGTTAATGTCAACACAACAGACAAATCAACAACGTGATAAAAATATTTTAAGAAAACATTTCATATTTTCCTGATACCTGTTGACTGTTAAATAATACACACATAGAAGCCTGGAAGTTCAATACGGTCCGAGTGTACTTTCCTCTTTTTTTTATTTAAAGTCCTCTTTTTCGGTTCTTTTAAGTGTAGTCAATCAGACTGGAGGTAGAATGGAGCTATAACACATATAATTTTCCTAAAACCCTGTTGTCCAGTTTTATTTTATCAAGGAAAAACCAAAAACAAATGGATTGTCACACTTTGTAAATTTCTAGGTTACTGTGTCGGAGTGAATCGCCAGTCAACTAACAGTTATCTGATAAATAGTTACATCGAATTAATTGGGTAACAATTTCTTATAGACAGACGATCAACCCTAATCGTTTTGCCCTTATATTAAAAAAACATACTTTTAAGCGCATTATAGCTTATATTGTTGGTCATTTCAGAGTATTATACAATTTTAGTCAGTCAAAACAACTGAACTCAATATATGCTGCTTTATTGTAAACAGCTATTGGTTTTTCCATGATATTTATTGTTTTCCTATGATTTAACAAACAAATGATGGAGTTATCATCATGTTATCATTACCTAACCTAACATTTTAATATTTATCATGGAAAATTAACGTAGTATTTTTACTTTCCATGAAATGGTAAACAACATGACAGCGTTTAGTATTAGGTATCTAAGTTTAAAAACTAAACAAAATACATCACTAACGTTACTATTATTTTTACTGTTTTAAGCAATTTTCAAAAAAAAGTATTTTTCAATCTTAATTAATCGCCAAACATTCAAACACAAAACATGTATGCACACTTTTTTTTGTTGGCTCAGAACGATTTGTGTTTAATTGTTACACACTCAACTGTTTTTTTTTATGTTACCAGGACCGGCAAACTACATTACCCGACAGACGTGTGCGGGCCGCTTTTCGAAGAAGAATTGGAATTTTGGGGCCTAGACGCGAACCAAGTAGAGCCCTGTTGCTGGATGACCTACACTCAGGTAAATTGATCAGCCAGATTCATAACACTAGTGTAATTAAATATGATAATATGAGTGTATTACAAAGAAAACTCACTCTTTCTGTGACTTTTCTTCTTTTCGCCATTTTATTTTTCCACGAGAAACAAGTCTCCTTTCATTCCGAGTTACCTAATATAGTTTTTTGACACTGAATTGCTATCATCAATTTCTTGTAAGTAGTCCTTATCACTACTAATCTCTTATCAGCTGTTTCTTATCGTTGTCTTGGAAAATGAATGACGAAATTCCAGATAGATCCCCAGACAGTGTCTGCAATTCTCTTTTTCTTCTGTAAGCCAGCGTTATGGTATTATGCAAAAACGGATAATGTATTTGAATTTATTTTGTATTTTTTAATAATAACTCAGTCGGTATTCCGCCGCATTGTAGACAATGGGTAACATAGATCCCCTAAAGTGGTCGACTGTTTTATTAGTATAGTGTGGTTACAGGTCATGTTATTGCTATGGTTGAAACACCATAGCCTTTGGGAATTTACAGTCTTCGTTTAACCTGAACCGACTGTCAGCTCGGTAAATTAAGACGGTGGGTACTTTGTTGGGTGTTTATTCACTTTATTTGTATCTGTGGCCAGTGGTCACACAGGTCAAAATCAGAATTTTTATCGTTTAAATGTTTTTTTATTACAAAAATCCACACTCATGAAATTGCTCAAGTCTAGTTAGAGGTATTAAAGCCACAGTAAAGATAATAAATAAATGTAGAACCTAAACGAAAAAACTATCACATAATATGATTCGTGGTAAAATATATAAATGCTAATTTATTTCATACAAAAAAAAAAGTTTATAAGCTAAATACCAAAGTATGTTCGACTTTTCTAACTTTAAAAGATCATAAATAAGAATTCAAATAAATAAATTGAATTCTAATGTTATACTTCAAGTATTGTTGTAACAACATGAAAAAAATATAATAGCTTCTACGTTTTATCCGTTTTTTTTTTTGGCCACTTTTTTTTTTATTTTGAAACACTGCGCAAAGTCACTTAAAGCTTAAGTTAAACTTTTACCTCTACGGTTTTTATTTCTTTCTTTTTTTTTTTGTTGTCATAAATTATTTCGAATCAGCAGAGACTTGCAAAGTTTTCCCTTTGATTCGTTTGAAACGTTTTCAACTTAACCTAATTGAGTCGTCGACTCCGGCCATAATGTCTCTCTCAGTACGAAACACCATTAAACCGAAATCCACGAGGACGTTTTAATTTTATATAATAATATAATCCAAGTAATTATTTAAGGTTGTATAAGCTGTGCCGGTCCAAAGGGTGCACTGCCAACGTCAAGTACACAACACGGTAAAACCGTTGGAAGGGTCGTAAACCATTTTTTATCGGCTGCCTTTTGAACGTAAACAAAAGGAGTAGAAGTGGAAAAATTAAAAAACACTGTTATAATATTTACAATTAAAAAAAAAAGTAAAGCGGTAAAATACAAAAGCCATCGATTTTATTTTCCCAAAACGTTTTGTTTAGCAAGAATATAACGTTTCGTGGGTTTCACAGCATACATAACGGTTCTAGTGGGTCACATTTTGAAAAAGGGTATTTATAATGTGTAATTTTTTACTCGGTTATTTTCTTTTTGTGTTTTCCTCGGCGCTATTGACTTTTGAATATCATACGGAACCGCATATTATTATGCTTGGTTGGCTTTTTAAAGGAAGAAGAATTTGCAGAAAGTTTGCACTGATAATGTTTTTGAAGTTTTAAACTTGGGACGGAAGGAACAGATAAGACTTTCAATATTGACGTTCTTCGACTGACCTATGTCGTTTCGAAAACGGCTTAAGTGTGATGAGGAATGTGAAAATTTAGCTTAAATAACACTTACCTATTTATAAATGCATTTTTTCAATCTGAGAACGTTGTGTGTTAACGTTTGGTCATTAAAACATATTTGTCTTGTCAAGGAAAGCACATCCTATTTTCAAAATTAAGTAAATCACCTAATAAAACATGTTTTTTTTTTAATCTAAAACACACACTACGTTTTTAAGTATTAAGTTTGACGGAAAGTCTTTATAAAAAAAAAAATCAATGACATTTGTCGTTTTGTAAGTGGATGGTTTATTTTTTTTTTTTTTTAGTTCTGTTCAATATGAAAGCAAAAAGGCCACTATATATATCTTACTGTCCAATTTCCTTGACCATGTTATCTCTGCAGGGATACTATTATAAGAGATTATTCAATATACAAACAAAAAAAAAAACTATACCCTTTCCTCATATCCGTTCTGTCGAAAAAAAAAACTGCACGGTTGATGTAAAGTAATAAAATATTTCCGGTTTTTTATGTAGATTCAATTATGTAAAATCATTTAAAATCAACAACAATGATTTACATCAGCCGATACGACCCGAATGGGAAATCACATTTTATATTTTACTTGAAGTTTGTAAGCTATTTTTTTTATTATACATTTTATACTATACAATATAATTTATTATTCGCATATTAAGTATAATATTTCGGAATGATAATAATATTCACAGAATAAATAAAGTAGAGCCATATTGGGTTTGCCAATAATACAACCTATTGGCCCCAAAGACGACGGAAGCACTTAAGTTTAATTTTACTACCGATTGGGGGGGGGACGGTTTGTATACAAATATAGATGTAATACCTTTTAATTATGATTTCCGAACATCCGACTTGCTATACAAAGAAATCGGTTCAGTCAGTAACATAATATAGTCCAATATTATAAATAAGATGTTATAATAGCCACATACTATATGAAAATAGATATTTGAAGACTCTCTAATCAGTCGCGAGGAGATCAGTGTGGCCGCATCAAAATTATTATGCAGATATTTTACCAAATCCTTATCAATTATGAGTTTTCAATGATAACTGACTATATTACCGCAGGTTACAGAATGTATTTTCCTCTAATCTGTAATAGATTGTTATTATTATGAAATTTTATGCTCGAATCTGTGGTCACACTGATTTCATTTTCGGTCATGTGACTTCGTCGTAATTTTTTAGCCGTTCTAGGTGTGTATCAAGTATAAATTCGACATCAATGGACTGTATAAAGGTTGATTAGGTGATCGCAACTTTTCCAATTAACCATGAAACGATATAATATTAGACTCGGTCATAAAAAAAGTAAAAAAAAAAAAATAATTATGAACTCCAATTAAAAGTTTAACTGGCATTTTAAACGAGAGTTTTCCTCTACCAAATCAGCTTATTTTTGGGGATATTTTTTTTTCTTAAAACGTTAAAGCTAATTATGCTTAAAGGGTATGGGTTGTTCAGGCACAAACTCTGTATTTAAATACTCGCATAAATAATTATGAGCAACAATTAACAGTTAAGATTTCGAAAAAATATCAAGTGTAGCACAAAGAAATATAAAGCTAATTAGAATCCTATCTAATTATAATTTTTTTTGAGAGAGAGAAAAACGATTAGCCCCAAACGAGTAAAAATAAGTAATTTATAAACTCGAGGAAAATAATTTCCGAGAATTCGAGAAATCAGTGCAACGCAGAGAAGAAATGCTAACAAAGTTTTAGAAAGAGTATTTTAAGAATTCTTCGAATGGAGCATTTTCTAGACGAGAGCAACCGAACAAACAACCCCTTTGTGATAGATTAAATAGAGATTAAGGGTGAAATTCGCGCGATAAACGACAATGTACAGTAAACAGATGAAATTGGTGAATGTTATAAAAAACTAAAACCAACAAGAAAAACGATTATTAGCGTTTTGGCAGCTGTGAGAAAGTTTAAAATTAAAAAGTGCAAATTTTATTAGTATTAGTACACACTGAGACACAGTAAAATTTGATTAATATTAGCAACTGTTTTTCAAATCAGCAGTTTGACAGCCGACTGGAAAATTGATCTTGTTACAAAATTATTAAAAATATTCGACTGAATTCCAAAGACAAAACGTTAAAAAAATTAGTACTTGTTTTGACGGGCTGTAAAAAACGTACAGACTGAAAACGCAATTCGATTACCGTTCAATCGTCTCAACTCGTTTATAACTTTCAATGGAACTTGAAGTGTTTTCTTTTTTTAAGACACTCTTTTTTTTTTTTCACGTTAACAGGTAATGCACTACTACTACCATTGTTGTCGTATCAATCATTCGGTTGTCAACAATGTCGGTTGACATTATTTCTAACGTGTGTCGACGGTGGCTCGATAAGTACTACTATTGTTTGGAAAATATATCCTGAAAACATGCCTAATTTTGTGGCTAAGAAATCATGCGTGTACTTGGTTTTGTAAGCGTACAAGTTATATTAAAAATTAGTCAACAATTGCGCACTCTTGGCCAGCAAAATATTTTCAGTAACATTATTAGTACTTTTGAGTCGTTGAAGTGTTGGAGTTTTCGTACAAAACAAGCATAAAATATTACTGCAAACAACACAACATATATATATATATATATATATATATATATAACAACAGTATCGAGTAGTAGTTTCGTTGAGAGCGAATTATTCAACAACGGTTTAGGGTTAAATATTGTATATATATACATAAATTTAATTTGCCATTAAAAACAGTTGAACACATTAAACACGTCAACCTGAGTGGATTATGAATTTATGAATAATTTACAAAATTAAATGAACATACTCGACCCACTCGTTTTGGATATATTAACGGTTTTTGCGTTTTGAACCGTGTATTTGTATTTGATGGCACTGGTGTGCCTAACAATCAGATTTAACGTCGTTCTGCCTCTTGCATTGCGAGCAAACGTGTGTGTATGATATTGTATGAAGTGCACGTACAAAATTCACTCAACGTTTGTTGCTTGAAATAAAATAACACGCCGTTTCCTCTCAGACAGTACCTACTACCCTGTTTTTTTTTTCTTTTTTAGTATTCAATCCGTAGATTGGTCTACAATAAGTGTCCTCTCCGTGATTCCCTATCTTGTGCTTTGTCCTTGTTGATGTTTATACGAATCGACTCTTGC